CCTCCCGCCCACCCGGTCATTTCTTTTGTTGTTTGAGGAAGCGGGACACACGGCCTCTCCCTACAAAGAAATCCAGGGAGGCCGATTTACGGGCTCAATTCAAAAGCAAGTAGCGGTGGGGGGGATAGGCCCCATGGGAAGGTGGGGGGAACTCCCTCTCAACCCCTGTCTCGGAGGAACGGGCCTGAGACCCCCCCCCCCCCCCCCATATTTGCCATTCCCTTGAAAGCCAATTCCTCCATGCTGGCTGAAGCTAAGCTTCTGTCTCCAACGTCGCTTCTCTTTCTTTCAGTCTCCAGATTGTAGACACTTTTTAAATAAAGGGAGTCACCCAATACGAGAGACCCCCGTGTGGTTATTTTGTTCTCTCAATTGTTATTAACATTTTTAAAGGTAATATTGGCACTTTTAAGATGGCAGTCTAGGCTTTTTTTTTAACCTTCAGAAAATCCGTTTTTCTCTTGTTAGCCAAGGCCATTTTTTTGGGTGGGTGAGACTTGCTTTTTCAGCAACTTCAGGAAGCCCTCCACTTACGTCAGTTCATTTAGTGACCATTTATAGTTACAATATCATAGAAAAAAGCAACATGACCATTTTTCACCTTTACAACCGTTGCAGCATCCCCATGGTCATGTGATCAAAATTCAAACAATTGGCAACTGACTCACATTTATGACAGTTGCAGTGTTTTTGTGATCATCATTTGTGACTTTCTGACAAACTCAGTCTGAAAACCAGATTCACTTAACAAGCATGTATCTAACGTCATGACTCAACAACTGTGGTAAGAAAGATCGTAAAACTTAACAAGTGTCTCACTTAGAAACAGAAGTTTTGGGGTCAATTGTGGTCATAAGTTGAGGGCTATCTGTATTTAGATTTCTTTCAAAAATTTCCAGAAGCCTAGATTTATATGGAAAGATATATATGCATTCTGAAAGTTCAGGAATGTACTCACAAGTTTTAAGAAACATATAAACCTAACTGGGAAATTCTTTCCCCCCCCCCATCTTTGATTTCGGGCATCTGCTTACAGTTTTCCTGTCAATATTTTAGAGGTAGTTTGCCATGGCTTTCTTTGTAGTGCTGCTAGAAAAGTAAGGGGCCTAAAATCACCCAGCAGCGCTCCCTGCTTAAGGCAGGACTAGAACTCCTAGTCTCCTGATTTCTAGACCGGTGCCTTAACCACTAGACCAAACTGGCTCCAATTCTGGCTTACTGGGATTTAAATTAGGCCATTATATACTGTAAACTATGCATTATAATTTAGCAAATTAAATGCAAAAAGCAAACTATGGTTTATTCAAGAAAAGTGGTTAACAAAACTTATTTTCACTGTGGTTTTGGGGTGAAGGTATTGGACTAGGATGGGAAGAATCAAGTTAGCAATGGAATTTCACAATGTCTTAAGACCAGCCATACTCTCAACCTAACAGGGGTAAAATAAAGGCACTCATGGAAATTCTTGAACTCCTGTGGAAAACGCAGAATGAACATTTAATAAATAGTAGCAGTACAGTACATAAGCACGGTCTTAGTAAGACACCCATCTCATATGACCCTCTTCAGCCCCTGGCTTCTTGTAGGTAAGCTGCAGATTTGATTTTTGTGGTGGGGATAAAACAAGTATAAAGAGAGGCTTGACATATCAAATATAAATTCATATTAAGTATATTTTGTTCTTTTCTTTCACAGATTCTTCTTGCTATTGTATTGCTTTCATGGGGCTACGTCATTTACGCAACTCGAATAGCAGCCAAATGGCACTTAAAGGAGATGTATCCCACACAAGCCCAGAATATTTAAGACACCTTCAGAGTGAAATACCACAGAAATACAAGCACATTCTATAATTCCATAAATAATAATCTGCAAAAACTTGCATTCCAAACTAGAGTGGCTAAGCTGCAGGAGTATTGAAGCTTCAGAAATAGATTTAGTGTTGTAATACTTAACACTAATAATGTATAATTGAGAAAAATTGGGAAAATATCCTTGAATATCTTATTTTTTAAAAAGAGAAATGTACTGTTCAGGCTGGAGCAAAGTATTGCAGGCAGTCTACAAACCCAGATTACAGAATGCAGCAGTCTTCTGAATGAATAAATGATTCCAGAGCTGATATGGAAAGTCAGCCTTATGAAAGACATTAAGAAACTGATCAAGAAGCCAGTTTGGCAGCAGATCAAGAAGTCAACCTAACAGTAGATCAGGAACTTCCAGGCGTCCTGATAGAGGACATTCTGCAAAGATATATGAGGAAAGGAAATATAAAAGGCAATTACTAGGAGAGGACCCACAGAGTTAACAAAGAAACCTCTTCTGCAAGAGAAAGCAATGCTCTAAAGACATCCTTACCAAAGCATTAGGCCATTTGTGGAAAAACTGCTAGCAATGCAGACAGGCTCTCCCATTAATATTGAACAACATATAATAATGCATAATTTAATGTTTGATCTAGAAAGCCAGGCATGTGCTAATTAATTACAGCTTTTCTTATTCCAAAGTAAGGAACACTTCTTATATGAGTTTATCAACTTTGCTAGATGCCCTTTTACTATAGATGCGTATGATGAGCATGAAAATTATGACTGTTCAGCTCCAGCAAGTAAAAAGGGAAGCAACTCAGTCTTCTATTACTACCATATCTCCTGATGAAACTGAAACCCAAATACCTGAACATAATGCTTTCAGGCACCCTGGGATGATGAAATGCCAGGCTCATCTTATTCCAATTTAGAGCAAATTCATGCTTCTCCATCTACTGTTTTAGACACTTCTGCAAGCTGTGATGAAAACCCTTCTGCAAACAACGGTTGCAGATGTCACAAGAAGCAAAAATAGAAATGAATGATGACAGCTGTGATTTTTTTGACAACTTGTTGACTATGTAAAACCATTATGAAGTAAAGACTCAGTGACGAGGACAGCCATACATCTGGATCCTGATGGCCAGCAACCCTGTGGCAGGCCCAAGAAAAGGGGGATGGATTGCATCGAAGAGGACATGAAATACATGGGTGTTGCCCCTAAAGATGCGCTGGATCGAGCCAAATGGAGAAGACCCTGCCATACCGCAGGAGTAGCACTAGAAGAAAGAGCAACCTATCCAACTGCGCAGCTTTAGTGCCACAGATGTTAGTAGATCTGCATCACCATTCTCTGTTGGTTCCAGAGATGGTGCTGTCAATCATAAGAACAATGAATGTCTCTCCTCAGTGAGAGAAGAAAATCTAAGAGGAGTGAAAAAGATGAAGATAAATTAAGAGAAGTGTCTTAAATAAATATTTTTTGTTAAATATTCTTAGAAATCTTATTTTTCCTCTTTGTTACAAGTTTTTGCTTTGTATGTTAACCAATATTTTAGGTGTCTCTGTGCATTTTGTTTACTTTATATAGCTGGATGAAAAGGCCTTAGTTTTTATAGTTTTTAATGTTTTAATAGTTATTGTTTACTATTGTTTCTAACTTTGTTGTAAGGCATAAGGAATAAGTCATTTTATGAAATAAATTAATTAAAATATGACCTTGAAGTCCTTGGTGCTTTCTAAGTTTGGTTGTTTGCTTGTTTCATTATCTGACTAGATAACATCTTCAATTTTAGAAAGGCATGGGCTTTGTTCTCTATTTATATCGTCAATTCATTAAGCAATGACAGTGCAGATCAATCCTATATCATGATATAACCTTCCCCAAAGATTTAAAAAAAAACTTGCCCTGATCAGATTTGGTTTAGTTTTTGTTACATGCTTATTTCAGTTTAAAAGCTAAACCAAGAACTGATTTGTTAAAAGTAATGTATGCACAAAATATCAGTAGGCTAATATTTCTCATTTGGGTTAAGATGTGATACATTACTATTTATCCAGATAAAATAATTGATACCACAAGGGTATGGTTGGCCTTTACTAGATTAGTGTTGTATTATGTAGGTTCCCCCTACTAAAAACTTCATATTCTTACTCATGAACTGCCATTCATTTCCTTTAATGCTACAGCCTTATGACTGAATACCTGGTTTTCTAAGAAGACATCAATACAATGAGACTGGCCAGTTTCCTTGTCAAATAATCATTGTCTGATATACTTCTGGTTGTGATAATTTACCCTCTTGTGCTTGTTAGTGAATAGCATTATTTTGGTATTGTCGTTATCATTAATCTGCAACAAGAGATTGACACAGGAGGTAGCAAAAGCATATACCACTTCCTAAATCTATAGGTAGATTTTGTCATCTGCCTTGTGCAGCAACCATTCAGTTATGACAGCAATGAAAAAGTGCGACCAATCCTGTCATTTACAATGTTCGCAGGTCTGTAAAACAAAGGAAAGCCAAAATAAGATTTTAAGCACAATCTCCATTTCAATTAGCAACCCCCCCCCCTCATTTAATAACTAAGTTATCTGTCCAATTGTGATTGTTAAATGAGGACAGGGCTTTTAGAATTATCCATCATTGCATAAAACAGTCAACATTTGTGGAAGATAATATAAATAAGCACCAAGTGTATTAATATAGATGTTGAACAGTAATGGAACCAGGATGCATCCTTGCCTAGTCCCTAAAATTTGGATTTTTTTAAACAGGTGCCCATGGATACTTCAGTGAACCCCAAAATATGTGTTCATATTTTGACATCAAGAGAAGTAGATGTATAGATCATAATTTATGCCCACATTTTTAAAAATCAGGTTAAATGTAGATCAAGGATCAATTAATGTTGGTTATAAACCTAGATTAGTTTTGGAGTTTTCCTGCCCAGTAAAGGCTAAAACAGAATGCCCTGGTGAAAAGTCAAATTGTTGCCCTGCAATGCAGGCATTTTACATACAACTAACTGGTTATACTTACAGATTTATTGGTCAGTAGTTTGGGGACAACTTTTTGGTGTTTTGCAGATATTATTGACACTTCCATTGAATCTATTAGTACTGTTTAAGTAGCTGACCTTGGATTTTATAGAAGCTGCAGATGAAATTAGACAAGTAAATTCAAAATATTAAAGATTGGTTATCAAGCATTCAAAAACAATTATTTTAATTGATATAATAAATAAAGTGCCACAAAAAAATAAAGCTACACTTTAATTTGGATAAATTATTAAGTAAAATTAAATATTCCTTTAAAAATGTACCAAATAAGATAACTTTGGCTTTCAACAATACATTGTAGAGTGAATATATTTAATGAAACATACCAGTATGATGCAGATTTTTCTTCAGAATAGCATCAAATAACTTGAACATCTGTTTAACTTCAAATTTTCACTGGATACTATATGCATTTTGGCAATTCTTCCATAGATATCCAGGCATTTATTTCTGTACCATTAAAAGCATTGCGTAAGAGTGTAACTTTTAACTTGAAAACCAAACCAAACTTCCTTGCGCAAAGTAGTTATTTATCTGTAATAATGACTCTTTGGGCTTGCAGTAATCCTTCTAGCCTTACTCTTCTGAAACATATTGAAATAAGCAGTAAAGTGGAAAAATATAAAATTCTTTTTAAAAAAACTATATTCAAAGTTATTTTCTCAGTTATGTGTTAATAGAACTGAGTATCAAATGTTCACAGCTGTTTTGTTATCTTTATCTGTATTTCTGAAGTTTCAATAATACTCCTGAGCTCAAACACTCCAGTTGGGAATTCATGTTTTTGCAGATTATTATTTATGATGTTATAGAATATCTTTGTATATCTGTGGTATTCCAATCTGGAGATGTCTCAAATACTCTGGGCTTATATGGGATACATCAACTTCAGTTGCCATTTGGCTGCTATTCGGGTTGCATAAATGATGTAGCACCACGAAAGCAGTACAATAGCAAGAAGAATCTGTGAAAGAAAAGAACAAAATATCCTTAATATGAATTTACATTTGATATAACAAGCCTCTCTTTATACTTGTTTTATCCCCACCAACAAAATTAAATCTGCAGCTTAAGAAGCCAGGGGCTGAAGAGAGTCATATGAGATGCGTGTGCTTATGTACTGTACTGCTACTATTTTTTAAATGTTCATTCTGCCTTTTCCGCAGGAGTTCAAGAGTTTCCATGAGTGTCTCTATTTTACCCCTGATAGGTTGAAAGAGTATGGCTGTGAACATCCATAGCTGAGAATGAAACAGAACTTGACTCTTCCCATCCTACCTAGTCCAATACCTTCACCCCAACACCTCCGTGATTACTGAGTGAAAATAAGTTTTATGTTAACCACTTTTCTTGAATAAATCATAGTTTGTTTTTTGCATTTAATTTGCTAAATTATAAAGCATAGTTTACAGTACATAGTGGCCTAATATAAATCCCAGTAAGCCAGAATAGGAGCCAGTTTGGTCTAGTGGTTAAGGCACCGGTCTAGAAATCAGGAGACTAGGAGTTCTAGTCCTGCCTTAAGCATGGAGAGCAGCTGGGTGATTTTAAGCCACTCACTTTTCTAGCAGCCCTACAAAGAAAGCCATGGCAAACTATCTCTAAAATATTGACAGGAAAACTGCAAACATATGTCCAGAATCAATGATGGGAAAAAAGTCTTGCCAGAAAAAGGGCAGGAACTCCAGACAGTTGTCAAGAATCAAACGGCAGGAAAAAAAAGCCAAATTGTAATCATACTGAGGGCTAAAATAATAGGTAAAGATGGTTTAACAAGAAAGGCAAAAAGTACATGCCTTTTTCAGATGCTTGCAGTAAGATTAGAACAAAGCTCACAAGTCTTTTCACCTAACGTTATTTTGTTTCTCTCAGGAATTTATATTTTTTACAATTCAGTTTGAAAGGATGGACAGGCTTTTTAATGATTGTTACTGTTGGCTAGCAGACATTCAGAAAAAACGTGTGGATTAAATATCAAATCCTCCAGAGATTTACTGATAAACACAGATATAAAATGTGCCCACCCTAAAGAAAGAGACTGCTAGTGCTGTTTCAAGCAGGAGGTCACCCAGCTGACCTCCTGCTTGAAACAGCACTAGCACTGTCTCTTTCTTTAGGGTGGGCACATTTTATATCTGTGTTTATCAGTAAATCTCTGGAGCAAGTAATCTTCTGAGCCCTAGGAAGGAGAAACCAGCCAGCTGTTTTTGAAAATGTTGCCATGTAAACCACAGCGACTTCTCCAGACAGTTGCCAGGCATGCAAATGGCTTGAAGAAAGGATTAAATCAAAGCCCATATTTGTTTAAACTTAACTAAAGCCTAATCTTTGATTAAAGTTGGAGAGAAAGGCAAGAACCCATGGCCTAAAGTGGGTTAGTGATCCATTCTGTACAATCTCAGCTTCTGATTTATAGTTTGGCAGATCTGTAAACTCTTGATACAACTCCCCTATAAACATTCAGCTATTGAGATTGAAAAGGGGATGTGAAATGCTACTATTATAACTGGAAATTTGGTCAAATGCCAAGGGCAGGGGGATGCATAGGAGGCAATGTTGTGTCCAGACAACTTAGAGACCTCCATGGAATGTCATGGTGTGGAGCTGATAAAAACCTGATCCCTGAATTTGAGAGAGAGGGGGAGAGGAAAAGGGCTTATTTGTCCACCAGAAAATACAGATCAAGTAATTCAAGGAAATCCAAAAGCATTTTTAAGAGGTAAAGGTTCCACTTGAGCATATGTGCTAGTCGTTCCTGACTCTAGGGGTCGGTGCTCATCTCCGTTTCAAGGCCAAAGAGCCAGTGCTGTCCGAAGACGTCTCGGTGGTCATATGGCAGGCATGACTAAATGCTGAAGGCACACGGAACACTGTTACCTTCCCACCAAAGGTGGTTCCTATTTTTCTATTTGCATTTTTACGTGCTTTCGAAATGCTAGGTTGGCAGAAGCTGTGACAAGTAATGGGAGCTCACTCCATTATGCGGTGCTAGGGGAACTGTCCCCTAGCGCTGCGTCAAACT